AATCATCCCAATTGGTTTCAGATGGTCATTGCTATCATGACTCATTCTTGTTACTTGAGAAGTATTCATTAGACGTAAAGTTCTTGCATCAAACAGGGTTTCTCCTAGATGACTTTCAGCTTTTTAGTCCTGATGACAAATCAAGAATATAAAGATAGTTTTAACCATGGCTGAGAGATCTCAACCTAGGGGAGGATTCCCTTGTTCTTGACACATTTTCAGATCATGTTCTCAACTCAAATGTAGCTCTCCATCATCAATTCTGTGTAGTCTTAGAAATACATTTTATAAACACCATTTATAAATAAGATAACAAATAGAGAGTCAATAGAACAAAAATTATATTCAAAATAAACTTTTCAATGACAGATTCTTGGTTATTATACCACAATTATAACCTAATAACAGAGGTATGTATAGGTAAAATTGAAGCCAGCAGATCAATATTAAGTTCTCAACATAGAAGATTCATAAAAACTTGCTTGTGAAAGAAAACAGTAAACGTAAATAAAGAAGGAAAGATGCACACATAAGTGTAAAATAACAAGTTATATTTCTTACACACTTGAACAACTAAGACTCATTCATAGGGAGATTAACTCCTAGCATGTACTAACTTGTGTAAACTCGTGTAAAACCACTCTGCATAGGTATGACTTGGAGACCTGATGATGACAAAATCTTGTCGAAACGTTGTACATTTGCTGTTATGTTAAACTTATATTAAAGTTTTTCTTCATTACCCATTCAAGCCGTCTCCAACCATTATTAGTCTCAAAGTGGGTTCCTCGTCATCGAATAGGTATGACTCAAGCTACAAGTCCCTATTTTGACTCCATGTTGTTAGCTAGAATTACATTTGGTGGAGTTAAAATATGGATTTGCAGCCTGAGTAAATAATGTCTAGAATATATGATGTTGAGGCTGTTTGAAGCTTCTTGGGTGGCAGTTATTCGACTTACTGAGACAGAGGCCACTCACTTCGCCTCGGTAATGGTTCTGATAATTTTGTAGTCATAAGACATTATCTGATCAGCTAGTGGAAAAGATTGCTGTCTACATTTACATAGCATGGTTAACCTTGCAAAAACTTTCCTGCAGAAAGACAAAAGTGATATCTTAGGGGAATGACAGATATAAATAGTTAGCTCAAGCAAAAGGAACTTCTGTGATATTTTCAGGATAAATTGATTTCCTCAAAAAGTATTAGGTAAGCTCATTTTATAATGAGAAGGTTTAAAGAAAGAAGCAAACGGACTGGACATGATGTGTAGTACAAAAAGAGATCAGTATTTATCTATATAAAGGATAAAAACGTGATCGCCTTTCACTTGATTCGTGACACTATTAACTGACTTTTTCCCCCAAGATGTCTTCTTGTAAACCAGTTCACTCAAAATCAGGAAAAGAGTGTTTACCCTTAGAAGGTGTACTCTAGAATAATTAAAACTAAAGTTTCTTATTCAACGGGAAAAGTGTTAACCACATGGCTGGGCATTCTCATTTAACTCGGAGGGAGGCAATTATCTTCAGATTTCACCTGATCTAACATTGGAAGACACTGGCTGTCGACATTCTTGCACATCATGCAGCATTATGGCTGTACTTCCATTGGCAGAACAAGTGTGACCTCAGTAGAATGACAAGGAATAAAGGTAGCTAGACTAACATTAACTTAATGACTTTATTTATCATGTGATATGCAAAAACTTCATGAACTTAGAAGAAACAAAAACTTTTCAAAATAAGAAGATAGAGAATGCGTGATATGTCTATATACTACATTTGTTGTCCAATGTGTATGTGAAAAACCTCCATACACCTGAATAAATGAAAATTTTTGAAAATATTATACAAATGCAAGGAATAATGGCCAGAGCCTCTTCGAACCTTAATATTCTTTTATCTGTTGCCCTGAATATAATGTCAAATTGTTGAATATCACAGTCACATTTCATAACATTCTATTCATGATAATAGATGAAAAAACATTAAGGTTCAAAGAGGTTCTGGACATTAAGACTTTTCAACCAGTGATGAACGTCATGGAGAACTCTTTTAACATGTTAATTGAAATATAATTTTTGAAAAACATTTTAAACCCACTATTAATACAAGAAGGTAGCAAACATATGATAAAACTTAACTTGAAGATGTATATCTCATTGCAAGTTTTATGATGACTGATAAAAGTTAATTCATTGTGTTTGTTTGTTTGTTTGTAATTAAGCACAAAGCTACACGATGGGCTATCTGTGCTCTGCCCACCACGGGTATCGAAACCCGGATTCTAGCGTTGTAAGTCCGCAGACATACCGCTGTGCTACTGGGGGGCAAATTCATTGTAAAATATAGCTTCATATTATTGTTTTTCAATACAAAATGAAACTGGAAAATAATCGATCTTTCATAAACAGTAGGCGATGTCCATTTTTATTTTGGGATAGTGGAAGAGACTTATAAAATAAACTTGGGTAAACTCGATCATTATGTATATAGCCATAATTATTTTAGTCATACCGTTATCTATGCATGTCTTAAAATTTATACATCTACAGATTTAGGACTCACTTGTAATAAAGACATCACATATTTTGGAAGGTGATTGAATATCACCTATCAGTTCAGGTTATGGAATAAAATGCTGAATGTAACAGTTAATGCTGCATGTGTTTTACTACTTTATATGCTTTAATGAGTTGTTAATTGTGAAATTTTCAATTATGCATTCTAACACTTATTGTCGGCGAAATGGGATATAATATTAACGATGATAAGGACCTCAGAGTGAAGATAAAGAAATATACATTGCATTGAAATAAATTACTTAGCCACTTGGCTCAAAAACATAGGTTCATCTGTGATATACCCAAGACTTGGTCTGTCCATTTTAAAACTTATTGTTTACGGCAATCAATCAAGAGAAATTTTGGAAATAATTTTCCTAATTAATGATAAAAAAAGAAGCATAAAAGGATGTTAATGTTTATTTGTATTTCGTTATTATGAATTAAACTTTTCAACACATCCCATGTGTTTGCTATACCCTCATTTAATGTAGAATTTTTATTTTATTTTTTCATTTATGATATTCAAAGAAATGTTAACAAATTTTGCATAATAAAAACGATTGCTGATATTTCTCACCATTGTAATTATAAGTTACTCAGAGCCGTAGGCTCTTCCGAAGGTGGATGCTAAATTACTTATGGCAAATGGTGGAATCTATATATATATATATTATTTTTTTATTTGTTGTTGTTTATCCTTAAGAAGTATGCAATTATAACCAAAAAAGTAGAAAACTCAAAAACTAATTAATTACATAGCCTAAGTCTAACTTGGCCAAAACTTGCACATATTACATATCACAGTCTTATATTTACTGTAGACAGAGTAACATCGACCCTTTTCTTACGTACAAGTATACTTGCCGCATGTTCGTTGAATAAACTGGTTGCTAGGAGACGGGTATTCCTATTTCCTCTTAATGAAGGTTTTATTACTTAACATACTCTCTTTTGGGGTTGTCAGTTAATCAATCTATTTATTTGTGATTTTTTTCTTACCATAGCATGAATTTTAGTGAAAAAAAATAAAAAAGATGGCGTAGAGGTCTGATGTATTGTTTGATTTGCTACTTCAGCTGCACCAGATTAATTTCAGTGAATTTACTGCTCATCAGTGCTGCTTGGAAGAGCGAAGCATATGAACATTATTTGTTTAGTTTTAATGCGTTGTCTTTTACTCACCGTTAATAACCTAAAACTTGAAGTAGTTTGGGTTATTAGTGGTGAGTAAAGGATTATACATGAAAAACAAACAAATCAATTTATTTACTAATCAACAATTCAAAGGAAATATAAAAATCGCTATATATTTCGAAATATATTCATTTCTTTATATGTAAATCTGACAAATAAGTATTCTGTTATAAATGTGATAAGTAAGCCTTTTATTACTTTAAGCTGACGTACACACGCACTTCTGAAATTGCGTTAGAAGTAAGTATATCTTTCTCTTTTACTGTGCGTTTGCATTTACTAACTGTTGAATAACAATCAGTATTACTATGCACGTGCAGTACCTGCTATAAGGCTAATTTCAGATTGTCCTATTCATGGGAGTCCACAGGATGGGGCAAGAGGGGCACTTGCCCCTCTGGAATTTGAAAAGGAATTTATTTTAAAGATGTACTAGAAAATAATACTAATTAAAAATATATGACGAAATTAAGTTTACATAAATAAACCATAATTAACCAGAGCATCACATTCAAACTTCAAGGCGAATGGCCTTAAGTTTGCTATCGCTTGCCTCCCCCTGGAATAAATTCTGCGGGCGCTCATGATCATATTGGACTATGACTCGAAAATTTATTATACAGAATTAATCATAGTTAAAAACAGATTAGGCCTCTATTTTATCTTTTCACCACAGAAATTTACATTTTGGTGGAGAAAGGAAATTCAGAAATAATTCATAAATAAATATTATCCTTATATTTGTGGAAACAGTTTGTGATGAAATCTGAGCAATGTCTCCTTCAAGTAAAGTATTTACATGCATTGAAAGCTAATATAAATAATAGTAGATTTTATTATCGGGATTTCCATCTACTTTCGAAGTAACTTGCAAGTGTTTAAAAAATACTCATAAATGTACTTATTAATTATTGCATTAAAGTTTTAAACTGATATGTGTGCAATTTCAGAATTCAATTATTTAAAATATATTGACGTATTTAGTCATAATGTAATGTTCAAGCAAGTGACTATGAAATGTAGGGTCTACTTTTAGAACTGATACTTCATATTTCCTAAAATCCGTACACTGCAGTTAAAACATATTCTTCTGCAAACCAACAGATGCGTGATGTGTGTTCTGCTGACAATAGGGCGTCGGCTGCGGGAACTGCTAGCCCTATGATTGGTTCATATCGTCTATGTAACATGCATATCAGTCCCTGTTAGAAGTAATGTAAACCCCTTTACTAAACCTGGGTGGAAAACTACGAATCGTGTGGCGTCTTCTCTTTGTTTCGAGGCAGCGCTTCAAAGAGAGAAGAAGTAAGGAAAGCGTAGTCAGTTTGCTTGCCATAGAAAGCGTAGACATAGGTAAGAATAATTTATCGTGCATCCTCAAAAATCGAAATTGTTTAATATTCTTTTTATTGCATTTACATTTTTGTGTGTAGTAGTGGAAATTACAATCAAAGTTTTTAAAGTGGATAAGCAGTTCTTAAGTAGTTTTTTAGAACACATTTCAATATCAAGTACTGCAACTGTGCTACGTTATGAATACCATTCGGTAGGACACTATCGACAGTCGTGATGACGGTTGGTGAGAAAACGATAGAAGCATTGTAGAACCTACGCTAGAATACTGGCAGTCGCAACGTTGAACAAGTCGTTTTACGTTTACGCCGCCATCTTTGAAAGTTAGCGAAAGCTACATCACTACGAATACTGAGGATGATAAATTATAATCTAAGTAATAAATAAGGTTGCGCCTTTAAGCGTTTTTGTTGTATTTAAGTTTTTAAACAAAACATTTTCCTGTTATACAGAAAAATGTAACTTGAAGTATAATCATAAATACGAACTTAGATTAATAACTTTGTACGTTACGAACTTGACGTATTACTACTACCTTAGTAACTTAGTATTAGTGACGATAGAGAACATGTTACGTAAATTCTACAATATATGATTTAAATGACCTCGTTTTTATACTTGGGCTACAAGAAAGTGCATTTTAAGACGTGAGAAAAGGTTACAAAGATAATAACTTGTTTTTTATGAAGCACAAAATATTTTTAAGACGTAGGAAATGGTTTGAAAATGAAATACAGCGATAATAGTTTTACTACTAATATTACTAGTATTAGTAGTGCTATTTGTAATAGGTGTAGCTTTTAGTTTTAAACAAAATGCGACTTTGTAAAGTTTTTGTTGGGTAATATTTTAAAAGGTTTGCATGGTTTGGTTTTCAGTATTGAATTTTTAAAAGCATTAAAACTAATTTTTAATTAAGAAAAATAACCGAAGTAAACATTTTAAAAGTATTAGTATTATTTTGATGAGGGAATAACTTACGAATTAAGTTTATCTAGAACCTTGGTTTTTCATATTACTCTGTTCATACATTGATCAGTGGGAATAAATCTGCATTTGGAGAACGAAGCATATGTTATGGTAAAGGAAAACAATTATTAAACGTTTACTTAAAAGAGTTAGACTTGTATGGTAGGACACACATGGGTTAAGATTAACTACTCGTAGCGCCAATAAGTGATGCACAAATTCTACATTAAAGAAAGTACAAAGCTGGTCGTGAATTTTCTTGTTGGTTTTGCGAAGAATGACCTTACATTTACAATACAAAATACGTTAATTAGTAAAAGTATTTTGTATTGTAAAATAGACTACTTTGCTTCCAACTGCTTCTCTATTGACTTGTAAGTTATGTCTAACAATTTTTTTTACGTCGGAGTGACGTCACAGTCGTGTGATTTTGCCAGGTAACACGATCGTCATCTTTACAGAGGGGTAAACGATAGCGAAGCGAGTAGCTACGTGTACGCAATTTATATAGGTCTATCGTATACACGTGTTATTGCTGTGTAAATTCATCAATTATCGTTCATATATTACTGTTTGATAATCAAGTTATCAATTGCAATGTCTTGTCAATACATGGAGAAGTTGTCGCGAAGCATCGGCGATATATCGAGTACAGTTGCAGTTATTGACCTTGCTGACTGGTGGATCAACGACCCGACAGAAGAATGGCCCAGCGTGCAGTGCCCAGACGTGTACAATTACCTTGTGTTAACAACAAATAATTGAAAGACAACATTTACATGATACAAGATGAAATAAACATGAGTATAGTCAGTTCATGTGTTTTGTTGTTGATAGCTTTCAGCCACAACATGGTTCTCTCCTTTTCAGTAGCTTGTTTTTGTAGGAAAAGATGCACTAACAAGTAAACTACCAGGTCAAACGAGTTTTTATAATAATTGCAGAATCCCACAAATTTTTGCTTTATGCTTACTATTTAAGGTGAGTTGGAGGACTGGGTATCAAACAGAAGGAAAGTTTAGGTCTTTTTAACTTACTATTGGTGTAATTGAATGTGCAACAACTCTTCACCATATCTGCAGGTTTGGAACAACATAATTTCATCACAAATACAAGTTACAGTGGGCAAGTGTATAGAATAAACAAAATTTTTTTTATCTTTGTTACACTTTCTCTTCACCTTGGTTGCTATGTGGATATTGCATTGTAGGAGGGCAAAGTTCCTGGATCTCCAACCTCAAGAATAGGTCATTTTGTGTGTATGTAGTAAGGTACTGGTACATGTCAAGGCATTTTAAGATGTTTGAGAATTTGGTATAAGATAGTGTAATATTTAAGTTTTAAGTATTTAAGACTTTTTTTTCTTGTGAAAATGTACCAACTTGGGGGTTTGTATTTGTTAGGGATGTTTGAATTTTAATATTTATTGAATGAGCTGTTTTACAAATTGAATAGGGCATGTGTAGGCTGATACAGTAATAATGATACTTATCAGCCATATTGATAGATTAAGATATCTGGCAAATTCCATTGTTTATATTGCTTTATGGATTGATTAATTACTATTGTCATTAGTACTTTTTAGTGGTAATGCCATCCTAGCAAACTTTTCTTAATTTCTATTTGTTTTAATGCACTAAATTTAGTAAGGATTCAGTGGAAAAATAGAAGTAAATAGATTTGGGCTATTCAGATGCTATAGAATTTGGTGCTTACACACATTTTAAACTGAACTTCAGTATTAAGAGTTACATAGTTTTAGATTGACAATGCTTATCTGATTGATACAAAATCAACATCAAAGTAGGGCAGCATAGTTTGTATAAAAATCATCAGAAACCAGCTCAAACACGACAATTTACATGTGCTATTAGTTCAGATCATTAGCAGTATCCCCTCCTCCCTAAAACAGCTGACTAGCAAGACTTGGAATATGTCAAATGTAAATTACTAACCATTTTACTATGGAGGTTAATGTGTGAGATACAGCGAGTTTCGGTAGTAGTGTAGCAAATTGAATAAGTGGTTATAATTGTGGTTTCATGTTAAGTAGAACATGCTCTGCTATTTTAATGTCTGGTAAATGGTATTTTGTGACTAGCTTATTTTGTTTAAGTTAGTGAGGTGATAAAACTGTAGTTTTTAAAATCTTCCTTAAGGCTGAAAGATTTTGCAACTCATAATACCATTTTAATTTTTTTTTCTTGTGAATTTCAGGTTGTTCCAGGCAGACAGTTAAAATGGGAACACAACAATTTTGTTTGAAGTGGAACAACCACCATTCTAACATGCTATCAGTATTTGAACAATTGCTGTCAAACGAAGCTCTTGTTGATGTGACTTTAGCGTGTGAGGGTGTCAGCATTAAAGCCCACAAAGTAGTTTTGTCTGCATGTAGCCCATTTTTTCAAACTCTTTTTGTAGATAATCCATGTAAACATCCCATTGTCATTATGAAAGATATGAGATATGTTGACTTGAAGGCTATTATTGACTTCATCTATCACGGTGAGGTAAATGTTTCTCAAGACCAGCTGTCAGCTTTGCTAAAGACAGCAGAAACTTTAAAAGTGAAAGGACTTGCAGAAGTAGGTGGTGAAAAGCAAGGAGATAAGGGAGGAACACAAGAACTAGTACAACAACCAATAAACAATTCATCTGCTTTACAATCTAACAATCAGCACAGAGCTGAAACACCACCAATTCATAAAAGAAAGAGGGGGAGGCCAAGGCGACGGTCGGGCTCCAGTCACAGTGATACTGAAGACCAGGTGCCATCAAAAATAAAACAACCAGATTCTCCAGAAATCATCAGTGATATCAGCAGAGATGGAGTAGTTGATGCATCACAGGAAGTCAACCAGAGGTTATCTCTGAGCCAGTCTCGTGTTCCTTCTCTTTCATCTAGCCAAAGTGTTAATTCTTCTCACAAGTCATCCCATTCTATGTATTCATCAGTTCCTTCTCAACAAGAATCAGGTGCTACGATTGAAGAACCTGCTATTACAGATTCAAACTTTGACTTAGAGCCTTCAAGACTAATGGAGCAGACTATGACTGCAGGAAGTGGGGTGAGTAAAAGTCTTATAGTGAGGAATGAAGGTTCATAAACTTGTTTTGAATTTAACATGTAACTGAACTTAAACATGAACTGATTTGGTAATAACTGTTCTGAAATTTGTATTCCTAATAGGTTTCAATGTATGAACCTCCTCCAGTGTTATCATCAACTTCATCAGCATTAGCTCTTCCATCATCATCAGCATTGAGAGAAGCACAGTCATCGAATTCTGTAGTTGGTAATCAAGCAATCATTCCCACCTCATTACATTCTGCCTCTGATTCATCTGCCTCAGGACTTGGAACTCAGGACACACTAGAAGGTTAATGAAAATTATGCATTATTTTTATTTGTTGTTGATTTTTAAGTAACACAAGTTGTATCTTGATTTAATACCAAAAAGAAACTTCAAGATGTGTAAGTAACATGTATATTCAGTACTTCATTGAAATCTGATTAGTGAGGTAGAAAGCTAAATAACTTCTTGTTTTCCAGATATCAAGCCTTTTGTATCATTTGAAGAGCCTCCAGTCACAGCTTCCGTCCAATCACAAGACAATAGTAATGCTATGATACCATATATGGACACGTCAGGAGTTGCAGCAATACCAGGACCTAGTAGTTATCAACCTGACATGAGCTTAACACCATCACAAACATCTCAACAGCCTTCTCAAGGTAGGTTCAGTTTCTTACTTCCCTGTTCTATTTCCAAACTGGACGAAAGGTTGGAATAATGTGAAATATTTTAGTAAGGTTGGATTTGAAGAACCTTACGTTATCACATTAAAATTCTATTATTGTGAAGTAAGGCTTTTGAGAAGGTTAATTTTTAATTCAGTCATATATCTAGCATGAAATTAAAATTGATAATTTGTTACTTCAAAGGGGGAATATAAATCTACTGGTAGCTAATTATAATTTTTTAGATTTTGTTGGGCAGGTTATTTATTGTTTTAGTAACCAAATGATAAAATATGGTTAGTAACTATTTTGAAAGTTGTATCTTTTACTCATATTGTATGTATTGCAAGTGGCCCACTTGGCTGATATCTGGATTTTTATTTCCAAGTATATAGTAGTTGAACAACAAATTTCATTCATGTTTAGTGTTTTCCTTTCCTCCAGTTTGGTTTTTTCTTTAATGTTTATTGAAATCCTTCCTGATGACAACTTGAACAGGGATTTAAATTTTTCTTTGTACACAAAACATAGAGGGATGGGACAAGTCAGCAAGGAAGGTAGAGAAGCCTTTGTTTTCATTTTTTGTTCCTGGAAGTTATTGTATGTGTTATGTTGAATTGCCCAGAAGCTGACTGTAGTATGTTTGAAAGAAATTAAATTTGATTGCCAAGGCAAAATGACTTAAAATTGGACAGCTTCTGTACATTTTTACATAACAAACTGTTTAATAGTAATTAAGATTCCTGAAAGGTGAGTGTTAATTTTTTGTAGGTTAAACATAGGCTTCTCTGGAAAAAAATTTAACAAGGAAGCTTTTCTCTTAGTTTTGTGGTGGTGAGGGTTTATGAAAAGATAAAAGCTTCCAGCATATTTTGAACTACTCTGGTTAATGAGAAGAGTCAAATGTATAATTGTAAGTTTCGTGTTAAGCATGAAGGAAATAAATTTGTTTTTTCTGTATTGTAAATATGTTAAGGTGTAAGGAGCCTTTCAGGTTTGATATCTCTTCTTTGGTTGACCAGAAATAGTAACTTTCAGTATTGTTAGTAAATAAAACTACGTGGTACTTCATGTTATATTTGTTTGGAATAAAAAAAATCGTGTAATTGTGTGCATAGTTATTAGTCTTAAAAAGTAGTTGTACTTTCCCAGAGAATAAAATAATTTTGGTTTGTGTGTGAATTTTTTGAGATTACCAAAAATCTAAGACACCAGTGTGTGCCATAAAAGCCATCATTGGTTTTTGAAGCAAATCAAAAGATGAAAGAAGATTGTAAATTTGTTCAGAGAAATGATGTTAAGTTTGCCTTATACAGGTAAGTAAGGTATGTTATTAATCTGGCTCCAGGTTATAGCTTAGATTAAGATGGAGCCAATGCTATTATTATCTAAGGTTTAATATAGTTGTATTTTCATTCCAACTGATTATGGTATGTATGGTGACTCATTTGAATGGTAAATTTATATTAAGTTCACAAGAATATAAAGTAGGTAAGTAATTTTAGATTTATTCCAAATAGCTGATAGACCTCGAAAAAGGGTAAGTTGACAAACTTGTTTACCTAACTAAAATTTTGAGGCAACTTTCAAAATAGCCACTGGCTAGGGTAAAAGGTAGCATAAAGGTAAGGTAAATGAAAGTTGCCTTAGAAATTTGTGTGTGTAGGTTATGGAGTAAAATGTTAACTTTTTTAGGTAGCATGGTGGGTACTTATAACTTATGCAACATTTTTTTTATTTGTACAAGAGTATATTCCCTTTCTTGTGTATAAATTATGTAATCCTGGCTTAACCAGGAGGTTGTGGTAAACTGATTAGCCTTAGGCTAGAGGTAAAGGTATAGTAGTAAGTATAAGTTATCACAGCTCTGTCTCGGGTAAGTTTTTTTCCTATTTCTGAGATACATTCAGGAATAAAGGTAGGTCATATTTTTCTAATAAATTTGGAAACTCCTCTGTCACTGTCTTACTCACTAGCTTTTGCTAAAGAGTAGACAAAGAATAGCTTAACAGCTGTGGTCACTGGTAATAGGTATGTTTTTGACATGAGGACATTCCAGCTTTACCAATATATAAACAGTTATATTTTGGATTCCATTATTAAATGTAACTTAACATTTTCTTTAAGGCTCAATAGTTTTTTGTTTTTTTTCATAGTACCAATTCTTTAAAACAATGCATGTTGGAAAAGTATAAATATAGAAGAATTAGACTATTTCCTGAGATTTGATGTAAGAAACAGTGCCTCCTATTTGCATATTGATATATCTAGTCACATTCCTGGTTGTATTATTCATCATAACAATGAGAAGTCGCTTTCACAGCTTTGTCAAAGAGTGTGAAAATCGTGCACTTAAAGATTTTCAAGCACTAGCCCAACTTTTTAAAGTGTATTTTAGTTAACTTGTATAGATCAGTAACTTAGGAATTTAATAACCAAATTTATATAGAATAAACATCAGAACCTTGGTTACCATTAGGTTTTAAGAGAGATAGACCAAAAGTAACTATTTAACAAGCAACTTGTAGCATGTACTTTTGAGAACTGCCTAGACAACACATTGAAGTCCTGTATAAGATGAAAAACGTACAAACTAAGTTTAGTGAAATTTTCAGATAAGTGACAATGCAAATCGGCAACAGCTTTGAGACGTTTGTACCGTAGCTTTGTTGGAAGTAAATAATTCAAAATCACAGGAGAGTATTTTATCATGGATAACACTAAGACATGAATTTTAACTGAACAAGTTGTAATATCCCACTAACCAGATATCTTTCGATTCAAATATGGATAGTTTTAGATTATTAAATTATTCTAGACTGAATTGGCTTTTTTTTTTTTTTCGATGGTCAGCTTCAATTGCATTGGACGGTTTTTACTGGAAGTGACACATTTTAAACGGATTATTTGGGTCATAATTTATTAGTATGCATTTTAAGTTAATATTCAAAAGTAAAGAAACTCGATTAAATTAGTGGTTATATTAGTTTATGAAATCTTGTGCTTAAAGCTAGCAATTTTTGTGGGATATAGTTAATTTTTTATGTAACAGAGTACAAAGAAAATCGCTGAACAGAACATTGACATGTTAAGTTTTTTTTATTATTATAAAAACTTAATTAGTATTTAAATATAATTTTAAGAATATAAGATAATCGAAATATTTTTGTGCACATGTGATTCACTCCAAAAACATAAGTAAAATTTACTATTCTTTTAACATACTTGAATAGGAAAGATGATTTCTACATATCGAATAACACTAACGAAGAAACGAAATTTTGGATTTAATTTTTTTTAGAAAAACGTGTACGTATACGGGAATAACTCTAGAGGGAGTGACGTAAGTATGGAGAAGGTTAGAGGGAACGAGTTTTATATGATTTTAATTAAAGGGTGTTATTTACATGCGACAGATTGAGTGTGCATTAATATTAAGTATTATGTCGATAAAAAAGTCATAATAAAACATATATTTAAATATGTAATTTTAAAAAGTTTGGTATCTACGTAAAAGTGTATCGTCTCATTTACCCATCAATGAACACTAGCCTTTTTTATTCAGTTGTGTATCAAAGTAACTGTTTGAACGTGATGTAAGTATACGAGATATTACTTAAAGTATATGCTTTTAAGAAAAGACGTTACTTTATTAGGCTTATCCTCAGTGCGTGTTTACAAGAAACTGTTATTGTGGAAATATACGTCATAATTCATTAATTTTAGAAAAGTGAGCTCATAAATATTGCATGTGAATAGCAATACACATTACTTATGAAGAGTAAATTTGGATTAATTTAGCTATCTCACTTTCTGAAGTTTCTGTGCTAGATATTAAAATTAATGCATCATATTATTAATAGATTAAATAAAAGTAAAAACAAAGAATGGAAAAGAAAAACTGGGTATTCACTATGACACGTATGTGAACACTTATTTGATTTGAAAAGCACGGTTGTAAAGAACATGAGAGAAGCGCAAAATATCATCAAATGTTAAATATAGCCATTTCGTGTGAATAAAAAAAAGAAAATAAAAAAGCTTCATACTGTTGGGCCAACGCTAATTAGAACGTTTGGCAAAAGAAACTAAATATTATTTATAAATGATCTTACTGTATGTATTCCACCCAAGAAGGTCAACAGTGAAGTCTTACATTTACAATTCGTAGTTGCGTGACTGCTACTTGTACATCTTGAGAAAAGAGATAGCGATGTTTCTAAAGTATGTACATAATCTTTTAATAGTTGCTAGTTCTAAGGTTTAAACATGAGGAAAACCTATTTTCAGTCTCAACACGTAGACAAACTTCTGTATGAACAGGTCTAAGAATGAATTAGACATCTAATGAGTACTTCACAATGACATGCAATAATTATATCATTAAATTAGTCTTGCAAACTTATTTGTATCTGGGCGAAGAAACCGACACTTTAAGCTCTACAAAACACAATGAGCAAACGTACCGAAACTTGATTAAGAACATTGGAAAACTGGAAAATCAGTTCTCGAAACTTCATTGACATGTTGCAGGTGCACTTCACTGGCTGACCTTTTAAGCTGCAACATGTATGCTCAGTCAAATTGAAGTTTCGAAATAGATAGTTGGTCAGCCAGCATTTTTTTTTTTATTATACATATTTATAGGACTATATTCTGCTGCCATTCTTGTATCATTACGATCTACATATCAAGGGAGTTGACACAGGAGCAACGCCGGACAAGTTTTAAGCTCTAGGTTTGGGCACCTTGGTAATTTCGAAGCTTGGGCCGTTTGATGATTAAGTACTTTCAATTACAATTTCACATTAATATCAACATTCAGGCAACGGTTGTGCAATAATATACTGTTTACAGTTTCTTACTAATTTGCTAGAAATCTTAAATTTAAAAAGTAAGGAATAACACGATTTCGTTTACATTTAGAAAATGACTATTTGCGCAGTTTAAGGAAATTTTTTACTATTCTTCGGTGCGTAGTTAAACTAAACTTGGAGAATTAATTTTAACAAAGATTAACAACAATTAAATCTATATAGTTCTTTTGTGCCGATCAGTATAAGCAAATACTAGAATGGAAATCAAAAACATCCTTGGTAATTAACATTTGACGTATAGGATTTACACTCAACTTCAACAGTTACTTTTATTATTGAGTAATGATCGTCACAAAAATTCGGATTTTTACAAAAATTTTAGAGAGAGAAGAAAACTCAAATCTTAGTCTAGTGCTTATGAATTTTTAATTTATGATTTGTTAGATATTAAATTGTGATTCAATATTTACTTTTGTAACTTCATATGTATGGATGGAAAGATTGAGATAAAGGTATCGATTTCATAAGTTTTTTTTTTATGGGTCAATGAATATGAGAATTAAGTACTCTGGGAATGAGTATAATTACAACTATTTGGGTCATTAAGACGTTAGTATTTGGCCTTTCACATTTTTTATATACTACATTCTTTTATCTAATACCCTGGGGGCGCCCATCAGTGGCACGGCGGTATGTCTGCGGGCTTATAACGCTAGAATCCGGGTTTCAGTACCCGCGGTGGGCAGAGCACATAGCCCATTGTGTAGCTTTGTGCTTAATTACAAACAAACAAACTGGGGGCTAGATTTGTTATATCCACTTGAAAAATCGTCGATATCGTATTGAGACCAGAAAAACTGAGGTAAACTTAAAAAAGAACATCTTTGAAATAAACATGGAAAGAGGTGGCAATAACAATGTATTTCAAGAATAAGATCTCAACACAAAGTTAATTAGTTGTGCGTTATATTAAATGAATATTTATCAGAATGTAGGTGTGGAAACTGAAATGTGACTAGCAAGGTGACTTTTTTTATAAAGCTACAATAAGAAATGTGAATCTCCCATGGTATAAAATACTAAAAATTAGTTATTTGAATAAAAGTCATGTTATATCATTTATGAATTAAAGAGTACTTCGGCCAGATGCGTATTCATCTAGCGTATAATGACCCGAGTCATTTTTTTTCCCTTCTCAACCATGTGTAGAGTTCAAACGAAATAGTTTCTGAAAAATATATTTTCCTTTTAGTTCAAGAATAAATATTAAAGTGCATACCTAATGGTTCATTGTATATGCGCCTATTTTTTCCCCGAGTACTGAAAATAAGGTTGCTTCAAATTGTGGATATTAACAGTTCGAAATATTTCTTCCATAAAGGAATGGATTTCATGTTTTTTTATGGACTATTTGTCAATGAATATGATAGTTAAATACTCTGGTAATGACAATATAATTACAAATATTCGAGTTATTAAGACGTTAGTATTTGGCCTTTAATATTATTTTATATACTACATTCTTTTATTTAGTCCCCTAGGGAGTAATTTGTTAAACCCAGTATTGAACAATCGCTGATGTCGTATGTAAAGTATTGTAATAGGGGATGAGCGCTATTACAATTATTATATCTTGTAGTTTAAACGAAGGATTCCTACCATTACCGTGTTTGTTGCATTCCAGCCGGTCAGAAGAACTTTTGAGTATAATGATTCATCGGCATTGGATATGATGAATGTGGTGCGAGTGGAAAACTTGTGCACTTCTAATCATAATCACAAAGGGACTACAGAGAATGTTTTATGGCACATACATCTGTAATCATTCTTAGCTAGCTAGTAAAAGGCATATATACTATAACATGATTTATAAGTCCACAAATATCCGTGTAACTTGCACGTAGATACAAGTATCCATAATACAGCAGGTTTTGGAAATATGATATTCTAAACAAGGAAACGCAAGTGGAATAAAATATTAATTCTCGATGTTAGTTACTTAATCGACGATTGTCATGTATTTCTTGCTGGAGATAGAAAATGATTGCCAAGCATTGACCTAGGACGAGAACCTTATGTTATAGTGCAGTTTGAAAATAATTAATATCAACATCTGTTTGGCGTTAGATGAAATGGAGAAATTCTACATAACCTATATGGTATAAAATTGCCATTAATAGCAAAATTGGAAGGTAACCAGAGATCAGTGTGCAATGATTATCTGTCACGTGGAATCTAAGATTCTGTAACACTTGCACGAAGACAAGGGACATCAGGAAGATTCCAACAACCAATTAAGTATAAAACTTCGACAGAAAATTAATGCAAGAGAGAAGATGAAAACGGTTGCATATGCCAACATTAAGTTAAATTACTGTGTATATATGGAATAAAATATATTGTAAGACAACTATTTTTGAAACAAGACATAATTCAAAAGTTAGACTTCCAGTATAGTACATAACAAAACCTAAATATAATTATTAGTAATGTGAAGAAGAAAAAAAGTTAAAATACAGGACATCCTAACAAACACAGATCTAATAGCAAATGAAAATTTTGTAATTTTTGTGCAATCAATCTAGTTACAGGCATGTGCTTTTGTAGTGTGGTATTTTTTCACGGTTGTTGTAGTTATTTTTTTAGGTTCTATGCCTGGACAAACAGATGCTACATTCGTAGGTACTTAGTGTAGCATAAACAGTTGGGGAAGTAAATACGACAATTGCTACCATGGCAACTAGTGGATAGTTATCACCATAATGGTACTTGATATCATTTAAACGCGAGTTTCTATGCTGAAAATTAATAAGAGTTCAAAGTTGGCTTTAGTTTCATTAGTTCCATTACATTCCTGATGTAGATCTTTTTACACATCCGACGAATAACTAACACTAGGATTCATGTGCTTTCTTAAGCTTCTGGTAATCAATAGATCCATCTTCATGTAAAAATCTAAGTCAAGATTATTTATTGAAGTGTTAAATTTTCCGTGATTTTCACCTGAGAGTGCTAATAGCATAAGAAGTCTAATGCTGGAAAATTTTCAAAAATTCTACAAACATTTAGATCAGGAATGTGATGGAAAAAATGTAAGAGTAAAGGAAACTGGCAATCCAGACACTAAAACCACTGTTCATTAAACATTTACGATGCATCAACAAAACACTGGACTGGTTTTCAGGTCTTTTGGCAAGTTCATGCTATCTATTTCATGAGTGCCACAGAAAGTTCATAAGACTATTTTGGCTACTTGGACCAGAAAATGTTTGGTGTTTGACCACAAAGTTAAAAAGTAAGTCAGTAACGTGGAGTTATAGATTAGACCAGATGGTTTATGCAGGAATATTAGAACCAACACCCGAGAATGGTGTACTCGCCTTGCTTGTAGCTTGGCAATCCATTCATAGGTAGCCAGCTGTCATCTCAAATGTGAAGTATATCACCGGTATCTGGATATGTTAGAAGGGCCCGAATCTACTATGGAAGTGAAGAATGCAAATACAATCCATATTCTAACTCTAACTTGCTTACTGGCGTAAGGTAAACACAATATAGATAAATCTGAATGTCGTCACAATCAGAAGGCCATAAAAAAATATATACTTTGGGTATTCAAGATTCAGACAATTGGAAAAATAATTTATGTGCAACAACCATTTCTTTATCACAGAACACGATCTCAAATAGAAGTACTCTCCTCACAATAAAGACACGACTTTCACTATGACTGGGGATTTGAATATATAAATTTATAAATATAATACTTAAAACACACAAATTGCTATTTTTTCAATAAAGGCTACCACTTTTAATATATTAAAACATTACAGTTCGTATCAGCACAATCTGAACACTTTTCGAATAGAGTACTTTTCAGAAAAATCCGTTTTTCGAAAATGGTCAATTTTTCCTAATTTTTTTTTTTTCAATGAGGCATAAATACTACTATAAGTAGTTACTAGCGCAAGAAGCTGCCCTTAGAGCATCGTTTCTGCTAGTAAATATTGCTACTTGTTTCGTAAAAAATTCGGAATTGTATTCATGTACTTAACACAATAGGTATGTTTAAGCTAGTGTAGTAAACAAGATCGCTCACTATTATCTTGTCCAGAAATAATATCAAGATGCAACAATAATAGCCGCAAAGTACTGAAATAGTTTAATCGTATAAATGAAACATATTTCTAAATCAAAACTACTAAACAAAAAAGTACACACACACATTCAGGGGTGTAAGTATGCCGCCAGTAACTACAATTATAGGGAAATAAATATAGTAGGCTCAATTACTTTTTATATGGAGTCTATCTTTTGTAACTACGACACTGCACACACTATGATTTCTTTCGTTCTAAGTGAACTCGTAATTGTGACTTAACTTTATATAGACCGAGTCACGTTATTTGGACATTTCAGTTGTTTTATCTGCAAGAGATTCCTTTATCATATAAAGTAAAAATGTGTCCAGCTGTAGATTCTAAAGCAACTATGTGTTTTTCTCTTATTGAGAAATGACATGATCATGAATATCTTAGTTTGATACAAAGTTGCATATGTTTATTATATGCATTACAGATAGATGGAACACACCTCGTTTCTTTTACAGTAAGTTCTAAGCTTAATGCTGTAGTCTACAAAATATCCCACAATCAAATATTTAAGCCAGTTTCTTTATTTGCCCAAAAAGTCGTGCACATATATATATATGTGCGTGTGTGTGGAATAAGCATTGCAATAGAATTACCGTTGTAGGTTCTAGTTGTCAACTTTATCATATCGGGTAATAACTGTTGATTAGTTTAACATCAGTGTCTGACAGAGGGGATATCCCAACGCATTTGGGTGCTATTACCACAGGCATTATTCATTATGACATCAAGTTGACAACTAGGACCGACATTGGCAATTCTTCTGCAATGCTTATTTCATATTAAGTTCATTATTGTTTTATAGTGCTGAATTAATCTATTAACAATTAATGTAATTATTAGTAACTAATTCAGAAGCTTGGTTTCCACAGCAACTGATACTAATGTCAGTCGTCCTCTCCTCACGCAGTAAAGCACATATATATAAGGATACTAGGTGTTTTTACCACTCGTGATTTAGTAAGATGAACTATAAAGTTCATATGCAATTTTCCCAGCATACAAGCACTTTTATTGTTAACTATAGAACATTAGTTACCTATTTTACTAGATCATATGGTATCATGGTTGCATTCTCTTGGGAAATATTTCTGTAAATCTGAGTATGTTAAAAAGTAAACAGTAATTTTGCTATTGGTGGATCAGGCAAAAGTCTTTATTTAAAGTTAAAACTTTCTCACTATTTTTGTCCTCTGTACACTCTTGCGTTTTCTACAGTTTGGTAAATGTTAGAGAATAATTTAACTCTGCATAACATTTTTTATTGAACCTTCTATTATTCTATGGATTATACACAGTTACTCTGAATAGAAATCAATGCATCTGAGAACACACCAGAGGAAAAAATTTTGGCACCTGACCACAAAGTTAGTTTTTGACGAGTTTAATTCTTGTGAGAATATATTTCTGTGCTCTCCTAAGCTCTTTACATTTAAGAAAATTCATTTTTCATAAGTAAATGAATGTAAGATCAGAAGGAAATATTAGTCAATGAAGGTAGATGACTGTCTGAGAGAGTAGACAAGTCCCAGAGAAGTTCTGTCCTTGATATAGGACTTTCACCAATGATTCAAAGGTCTATGACTTTTTCTCATCATGGTCACAGACTTTGGAAGGACTGCCAGCCAGAATCAATTGCACCCAAAATGTCAGATCAAGTTCTTCCTCTGAGGATCAATATCAGGAGGCACTATGACTTACATGCTGTCTATCAAGTCTCAAACTTAATATGGTAGTCTTTGTAATATTTACAAGCACTTATATTTCTCGTTACGGGCTTGGTCATTTCGGCCGAGTTCGTGACTCCAAATTTACCTTTAGAGATTTCATACTAGAACGAAATTTCACAAGCT